ATGTAGTCCTGGTTGGCCTGAAGCCTGGAACCCATGGAGATTCATCAGCCTCTGCATCTCCAGTGCTGGCATTAAAGTGAGCCACTATGCTTAAAATAAAACCTTAAAAAAGATGGGAGGGGGGGTAGAGGTGGGGCACCTGGGATTGTGAGTCAGAGATAACCTAGGTTCCATCCCCATCACCAAAAAAAAAAAAAAAAAAAAAAAAAAAAAACTTGGGTGAGGGAGGACATACATGCCTGTACTTAAGTTCTTTAATATAAATGTTTATGTTTAATCATCTGCAAAGTAAATTAGCAGAACTACCTCTTCAATTATGGAGAAAATTAAGTGAGTTGATGAATTTAAAATGCTTACAGCAAAGATGACTTGGCGTATAGAACAGCAATTAAGTTCCTGCTCTTGTCAAAGGGCTTGTTGCTATCATCAAACCTATTGTGTTCCTGTTTGCAGATTCTTTACGTTTTTCACAGTATGAAAGTAACTTAAACTATTGCGGAAGTGGCTGAAGCGATGGCTAAGTCGTTAGATGGCACTTGTTCCTCTTGCAGAGCACCCACATGATGGCTCAGAACCCCAGGGCATCTAACACCCTCCTCCGACCTCTTAGTTGCTACACGTATGTGGAGCACATACATTCATGCCGGCAAACACTCATACACATAAAAGATAGATCTAGGAGGCAGAGGCAGGAGGATCTCAGTGAGTTCCAGGACAGTCAGGACTGTTACACAGAAGAAACCCTGTCTCGAAAAACCAAAAAAAAAAAAAAAAGAAAAGAAAGAAAAAGAAAAAAAAAGAAGAAAATTGACTGTGGGCTGGAGAGATGGCTCAGAGGTTAAGAGCACTGGCTGCTCTTCCAGAGATCCTGAGTTCAATTCCCAACAACCACATGATGGCTCACAACCATCTTTAATGAGACCTAGTGCCACTTATGGCCTGCAGGCATACATGTAGGCAGAACACTGTATACATGATAAATAAATAAGTCTTTAAAAAAAGAAAGAAAGAAAATTGATTGCTCTTCCAGAGGATCCAGATTCAATTCCCAGCATCTATATGCAGGCTCATAAGCACCTGTAACTCCAGTTCCAGGGGATCTGACATCCTCTTATGACCTATACAGGGATCAGGCACACATGTATTATAAATACACATGTAGAAAAATACATATATGCATAAAGTAAATAATTAAAAATCAGCTTTGCAGCTAGGTTGATGGCTCAGGGTATGAGGAACTTGCTCCACAAGCACAAGGACCTGAGTTCGTATCTCCAGTACTCACATGAAAAGCTGGGACATGGAGACAGGCAGATCCTAGAACTTCCTGGCCAGCTGGCTATTCTAGCCATTCTGTGAGCTACACATTCAGTGAGAGGCCTCATCGTAAAGGGTTAGTGAGTGAGACTGGAGAGATGGCTCAGCAGTTAAGAGCACTAACCTCTCTTACAGAGGCCCCAGGTTCAGTTCTCAGCACCCACATGGGTGGACCACAACCACCTGTAACTCCAGCACTTGGAGCTCTGATAGCCTCTGCTGGCCTCCATAGCTGTTAAGCACATATACAGAAATACATACAGGCAAAACACATAAACATAAAAATAAATCTTTAAAATAAAAACAAAACAGGGTTTCTCTGTGTAGCCCTGGCTGTCCTGGAACTCACTATGTAGTAGACCAGGCTGGCCTCAAACTCACAGAGATCCAAGTGAGTCGGCCTCCTGAGTGCTGGGATTAAAGGTGTGCGCCACCGCCACCCAGCTGACAGTGGATTTTGGTTGTGGTTATCTCAGTATCCACACAAACTTGAGTTCCTACCTCATAGTTCTGAGCAGCCCTGCGCCTTTCCTTTCATGAAGGAAGTCAGGACTCCCCCTTCTCGCTCACCAGTTGGGAAAACAGTCTACTGTTCTAAGTTGAGGCTAACCTGTGTGTTTATTCTCTACAGCTGCACAGTTGGGGATCTTCAAACCAAGATAGATGGCTTGGAAAAGACAAACTCAAAGCTTCAAGAAGAGGTTTGTAACTTTTGCTTAAACAAAATGGAGTGACCCAAGGTTAAGAAAAGTGGTATAGTCGGCCTGGTGGCAGTAGGCCTATCACTCCAGCTACTTCGGAGGCTGAACCAGGAGGATTGCAAGTCCTAAGCCTGCCTAAGCCAGAAAGTGAGTTCAGAACCAGCCTGAACAACTTTAACAAGACCTGTCTCAAAATAAAAAGTAAAGACTCCATGGTAGAGTGTTTGTCTAGTATAGACAAGGCCCTGGGTTCAGTACATAGTACAATAAGAAAAAAGAGAGAGAGAAAGAGATGGGCTGGTTGGTGCATCTGACCAGACTATCCTGTTGGGAGGAAGAGGATCTAGCCTCAAGTGGAACTGCACAGGAGACAGCATTTATGTTCCACCTGTGTAGGGTTCCCAGCGAGGCAGGAAGCTGGTCCTGAGGCAGTTCCCCACGGCCTCAGTTTTATCACCTCTGGTTAATGCACCATCGGGTAGACATGAAATGATGGTAGTTTTCTTCTCTACCCACCTTTGCTCTAGTGTCACGTGCTTCCTTGCAGCCCAGAGAGCACAGACTACCCGAGAGGCATCCCAGCCCAACCTTCTGTTTTGGCCTCTAGTGAGCACAGATCCAGCCTCCCCACAGCATGGTCTTTCTCTGCTTTCTCACTAGGAAGAGAGAAAGTAAAGGACAGGAAGAAGGAGGGCTGAGGCCAAGGAAGAATGCTTGCTGCCCGCTGCTGGCAGTCTCCCTGGTGGACACATCTTGTCTCCTCTTAGCAGGAGGGGGGGTTGCTCAGCTTTCAGGATTTCCACAGGTAGTAGGAAGGAGGAGAGCTTTGAGGAGGGGCTTAAAAAGGAGTACCCCACAGCACAGAGGCAGGGTGCAGCAGGCTAGGAGGGTCTGTAAGTGAAGGGCCCACTAAGGCTCACTGTAGGCTGACTGCTCTCCTTAGGGGCTTTCCAGGGAGGGACTCAAGCTTGTGTTAGTGGCAGGAGCAAAGACAGTATTCACAGGGGAGGGTCATGGGAGGAGTCAGTGCTGGGAGCCCTGGAGACTCACACACACACACACACACCCCTACCTTCTTGGGAGGTAGGCCTTTCACACACACACACACACACCCCTACCTTCTTGGGAGGTAGGCCTTTCACACACACACACACACACCCCTACCTTCTTGGGAGGTAGGCCTTTCACACACACACACACACACCCCTACCTTCTTGGGAGGTAGGCCTTTCACACACACACACACACACACACCCCTACCTTCTTGGGAGGTAGGCCTTTGAGCTTCTATGGAAGCAGGTCTTGAAACCTCATTGTAATGTCTCCAAGTTGGGTAATACATAGATTTTATAATTTTGTTATAGAGATTGTCAGTTTACTGTGGTATAAATACCCATGAAGTAGCACTGGGGGAGGGGCTGGAGTCTTGGTTGACTACAGAACAAAGCACTGCTCCCCAGCCAGGAGGCATTCTTCAGTTGTACTCCTGAAACTCGGGGCTGGGCGTTTTCTTCAGCATATAACTGTAGGAAGATGGCCTTTAGAGCATGTCATGGTGGCACACACCTTTATCCCAGCACTGGGGAGGCAGAGACAGGTGGATCACTAAGTCCAAGGCCAGCCTGGTCTACAGAGGTAGTTCCAGGACAGCCAGGGCTACACAGAGAAACCCTGTATCAAAAATAAAACAAAACAAAACAAAACAAAATACATCCTTTAGAGAATCTGCCTCAGAGATGGGAAGGAGCTGGTGGCTGTGGCCTGCTTCTCCCCTTTTGACAACTAACACCTTCAGAGCCTTAGAGGTCTTTCTTAGGCACAACTGTTGTTTAGAAACTTCAGCCTGGGGTCTGAAAACTCTGAAGGATTTTTAGAGGACAGTTCAGTACCTCAAGATCCCTCACTGAGGAAAGATGGACAGATGACAATCTCCCTCCTCTGCTGCAGGCTGGAGCCTGGAGCTGGAATAAGGAGGGGTCCCTTCCCCTTTGCCTCCCGTGATATCCACTTGCTAGGCTCAGTCATGAACAAATCCAACTTTCCTTCCCTTAAGCCACATGACACATTTCAGGAGAGGAAGGGTTCCTCTGGGGCCTGTTTCTGATAATTTAAGTTTGATTCTTTCCTCCAAAATCTTTAATCTCCCTTGACAATAAAATATATTTGCACTTATTAAGAAACTGAAAATCGCTGGGCGTTGGTGGCACACGCTTTTAATCCCAGCACTCGGGAGGCAGAGGCAGGCGGATCTCTGTGAGTTGGAGGCCAGCCTGGTCTCCAGAGCGAGTGCCAGGATAGGCTCCAAAGCTACACAGAGAAACCCTGTCTCGAAAAACCAAAAAGAGAGAGAGAGAGAGAGAGAGAGAGAAAGAAAGAAAGAAACTGAAAATGGGAATCAGGGAAATGGCTCAGTGGTAAAGTACTTGCTCTACAGCGTGAGGGACAGAGTTGCCATCTCCAGCACCTGAGTCAAAGCCAGGCAGGACAGCACGAGTCTGTAACTCCCATGCTGGGAAGCAGAAACAGGCAGATCTAGGGCTATGCTGGGTCAGCAAGCCTAGCCAGAATTGCATGCTCCAAGTTCAATGAAAGATCATGCCTCAAAGAATAAGGTGGAGCAATGGAGAAGACCCCACTGTCAACTTCTGGTATTCTGTACATGTGCGTGTACAGGCAAGCGTGAATGCGCAAACACACGCAACAATAGCAAACAGGTTGGGTGTGGTAGCACACAGTATTAATCCCAGTACTCGGGAGGCAGAAGCAGGCATATCTTCATGAGTTCCAGGACAGCCAATAGCCATACAGTGAGACCCTGTCTCAAAAAAACAAAACACCCCTGAAAAGAGTGATAGATCAAAACAAACAAAAAACGTAAAAGACCCATCGTCCTTTTGCCTGCCCCCCCTTTTTTTTTTTTTTGAGTTTCTTTTATTGTGATTTTATTGTCTCCATAACAAGAGCAGCTTAGAACCTGATCACTTAGCCCTTTCTCTTCTTATCTCCTCCTAGTTCAAAATGCTTGCATATCTTAATACCCAGCATCCTCTTAGATCTGCAGTTGGGCTCAACACACTCAAGCCTCAGCACAATCTTCTTTGTAGTTTTAGCCTTTTTTTGGAAAATAGGCTTAGTCTGTCCACCATTGCCATTCTGTTTCCTGTCATAACGCCGCTTTCCCTGGGCATACAAAGAGTCCTTTTCCTTCTTGTACTGTGTCACTTTATGGGGCTGGTGCTTGCCACATTTCTTGCAGAACGTCCGGCGGGTCTTAAGAACATTCACCAT